GAGGTACAAGAATCCCACAACAACCCATCATTAAATGTTGCCCAAAAGATCAGAAAGACCTAAAGATCTGGCCAGCACATTAGCCCAAAACTATTCCTTCAGTTAATATTGCCACCACCACTGGACCTTGCAACAGGCCTGCACTCAGAAGCCTTCACAGGAAATGGTAAAAATACAAAAGCAAAACTAAACATCCCACCAGGGAAGCTGCCCAGACGCCCACACCAGCGCCTCACTGCAGATCCCTGCAGGTAAGCTTTCTACTGTTTGTCTGCTGAAAACACCTCTTGCCACCAAACCTATGACCTACAAGTCCAGAAAGATTCAACTGCAGGAAGCTGGCTCTTCTAACGATTCTTCTCTCCTTCTTGCCCCAAGGCTCATACTGTTGGAAAACTCACCAGCTTGCTGCAGCACAGTGAGAAAAAACCCTGGAGCCCTGCTGATGCCTACAGGGAAACACAGCAGCCATGATGCTGCAGGAACTCGGGGAGGAGCTAGAGTTCAGAAGCTGACTAACACCACAGATACGTAACCATCAGGGCCATGTTCTCAGTGAAGACATCTGTCCACTGTCGATTATACGCCTTCACGAAACTTCTTTCCTGGCAAGCAGATTCAATCCCAGACTACTTCGATGTGGTCACAGCAAAATAAACCTTCAAACTGAATTTGGCAACTGGTTTGCAGGTTCAACCCCAGGCTCTTTGCCCTGGCCATTCCCCTGAAGCCAGCAGCATCACACTGTGCCTAACAACTCACAACAAAACCTCCCAATTATTCAATACCCATCTCCTGCTAGGAGGACAAAAACAAAAAAAGCCACTTCCCCTGGCTTCTCTTTGCTATTATGGATGACTCTCCTCTGATAGTTTTTTTCCTTACATTTGTACTTCCAATACCATCTCTGAGTTTTGCCTAGCAGGCAATAAGCTTCTCGGAGCCTTCAAATGCCTTCCAAATGAGAACTGCAAATCCTCATTTCACTAACCTGCTGAATGAAGTGGGCAATCTAGCTGTTGCCATCTTCTCCACAGTGCCAGAGGCCTACCTGCAACTGTGCTACCTCTCAGCATTATCAATTTAAAGCTTTATGCCAACCATAGAGAGAAGAATGCTGCTAACAAGAAGGGAATTAAGCAGAAACCTGGAGGAACTGGAAGGTAGGAAGAGACAAAACGATGCATCTTTTCCATCTTCTTGCATCAGACTTACATCTTCTTGTATCATAGTAACTACAAGGCTAAAGAACAAATCAACTTTGAGGTATATAAGCACATACGGCTCCCCTCAAAGTTAGCATACAGTCTTCCTAAGTGAAAGGAAACATTAAAGTGTCTCTTACACAATGCCTTAAACACCAGGAGAGCATGAGGCTGTTCCTGTACATTGTCAAAGTTCATCCTGCGTTAAGTACTTTTGTACAAAGACTAATTGAGGTGCTATTATTACAAAAAATGTTACTGGTGTTTTATTCTAAATCTGTTGGGTTTTTTTTTCTTTCTCCAGTTCTTTAAAACTCAAATCTTATGTAAAGAAATTAACTTTTAGGTTAAACTACCTTTATTCCATTTGTTAACACATAAAGGGCATGACAGGCATTGACCATCTCAAATCAATGGACTGAAATTGCTACACTGGCTCTTTGGTGAAAGGGTGATTAGAGTGCTAATTGCTATACGAGATGATACTCGGAAACCTTTGTGAAAGAGCATGGACTCTACTCAGGAACCACATAAAAATAACAGCCTCAAGGACCACCTTAACCAGAGCTGCAGTATTTCCTAGAGGAAGAGGTGTGAAACATCTCTGGCTGCACATTACCTTTTAGACTGGATCTCTCACATCCAACAATAAGACACTGATTCACTGAATTCAACAGGTTGTGTGGGTGCAGAAGCCCACCTGGAATGATCCACCATGTAAAGCTAAGATCAAGACCCGTAACTGCTTAAAAGGCTGTAACCATGAAATCAGCGGCAGTGAAAAAACAGGAGGTGAACCAGGAAAAGGCAAGAGTGGCAGCCCATTTCAGAACTCTGTGTCAGACAGGACAGAGGGATTCCTATTTCAAATGTATACAAACCAAAGTCTATTTTTAAAAGTGCAGCTTTATTGCAAACTTAGTTTGCTCATTGAAAAATGTTATGTAGTCACTTTTCAGGGAAGAGTCATCAAGGATTATACAAAAATTGAAGTCTAAGTGGGGGAAGAGAGTTGATATCCTAGGCTGCCTTAAAGGAATGCAGGTACATAACAGCCATTGATCTCAAATGGGAATTACAGACCTGCAGAGCTTTTGCAGATTTTGAAATTCCCTGTCTAAATCAATGCTCAGATTAGGAGCTGGGTTCTGTTCCCAGTTAGACCAGAACAACCTCACGATGACCTTAGACCAAATTTCTCCTCCGTAACTTATACCAACGTGACCAAGCATAACCAGACTCTGTTCCTCTCTTCCCTCCCCCTCACCCCCTGCATTTGCTAAGAAAGAGAAATGTGATGTGGGGCAAACATACCCTGCACTAGCTGCAGCTTCATTAAAGTTTGGTGGGCACAAGAATGATTTCAAGACCAAAGTCCTGAAACCAATTTACAGAAATTAACATGCTCTAAAATGACATGAATACAGAGGCAGATTAAAGGATTAACCATTTGGTATACTAATTCTCCACTCTTTTTCAGCCAGTCATCCAAACACATTTAGGAAGGTACACGGACACAACAAAATTCATTTGCAAATCAAACAATCGTCTCCTCAACAAAGTATGGGGAACATAATACAAAAATAAATAAATGACTTGTCAGATTTGCCTCATTTCACAAAACCACTGGGCATTCCTCAATCAGCAGGACAATCACGAGCAGGATTTCATAGGCTTCAATGCAACTTTTTACATGATTTAAAAACATTTAAATGTTACAAACATATTTAAATCACCACTTAAAAATATTCGGCTTATATTATTAAGATCTATTTTACCAAGTATGAAATAAGGACTTCATAACAACAGAAGCATGAAAATCATTTTTGTTTCCTCCACCCACATAACACTTGCAATTTCAGAAAGAACATATGCATCATCCATACTCCTTTGTATTTAAGGAGGACAAATCTTTCAAGAAAAGAGGGACAGAATGATTGCTATGATAGTAAGAAGACACAAGACCTATCCCATTTAAATTCTGTTCCTTAGCAAGACGGAAGGAGAGGTTTGGGTTAGAGACTCTGGTGTGGGCCTGACTGCTAACAAAATAAATTTCTATAGAAACTAAACTTTGTTCAATGATCTCTTGTTCAAATGATTTATTAGGCCTCTCTGTTACATGTGCTTGGTATCTCTTAATTTCCTGAATGAGACTTAGAAACCATGCAGGTAGGATGTTTTACTGTAAGGTAGAATGAAATCTGTCAGTAAAAGACTGAAATGTGGGATTTTCCATTGTCTCTCATCTGCACCTCAGAAACAAAGAAGAGTAGAGACTTGTTATATTAAGTAGAAACTACTTTTACAGTCAAAGTCAAGAGCACAGTAGCAAGTTTGAGCCCTATGAAGTCACAAGCAAGTTCCCCTTCCCGAATAAAGAGATGCAATTAAACACACCTAAGAATTTATGATGCTGTTATCTCTTGGATTAAAAAACATAAAATAAAATAAGAATCTAAAAGCTAGTGGACTCCTTTTCTTAAGAACTGAAACTATTACCGAAGAGTCTGAATACTACCTTCAGCAGGTGGGCAGTAAAGGTAAAACTGGGCTGCAGACAGAAGGGGTTCTTATCTCTCTATTTTGCTTTAGTGATTTCTCTTTTGGTTAGCCATGACTGCTGATAGGTACTTGCTAGCTCCTTACATACATTCAGCTTCCCATACAGAGAGCATAAAATCCTACAAGCATTGAAAAAATTATATGGCTCCCAGTGGGAGGAAAACTATCCAAGAAAGTTTCAGTTGCTAGATATAACTTGAGAAATGCATCAATTTGAAACTTACCAAAGGGTCTGACCTAGACTTGTGTGGATGGGCAGAATACCCACCAAATTCTTCCAGTTTCAGCTGGGAAATACCTGTCAGCCTGTCAGGCAAGGAGTTCTTGGACAAAGCCACGCTTGAAAAGGCAAATTATCAATGCTACAAGGCCACAGTAATTCAGCAAAGGTGGGAATTTCTGAACAGGAATCTTCACTAATCTTCACGCATGATCTATTTCAATCCTTCTGGTTTAGTTTCTTTTTTTTCCCTGGACTAACTTTGTAACAGACTCTGAATTTCTGGGCAACCAGTCAACTGCTCCCCTTGCTGCTCAATGAATTAAAAATCATCACAATAAAACAAAACAAAACAAAAAAAAAAACCCCAGCCCACAAAACAACAAAAATCAGCATGCAAGAACAGTGACCAGTTCTGGAAGGGGACAATTCCCACTTCTTCACCAAAGGAAGAAAAGGAACTGCTGCTCCCTGCACCCCAAACACACACACGCACACAGAGGTGGTCAAGAGACTATTTTAAGAAACTGCTAAGCTCATCTTGAACCATGACCTTGATTTAGGACTTCAGTGCAGCATTCTCAAATCAATGCGTGCAGCCAAGTTTTCCATGCCAGATGCTACCTTTGGAAAAGGGTAAATTAAAAACAAAAAAATAAAAGAAACTTCTGCCCACTGGGAAAACTTTCTACCAGATGCTAAAGGGATGGCAACCACTGATCCAAACCCTAGGGAACAGTAACATGCATCGGTAATCTGAGGTATCTTTCCATTTCTAGGTCTTACTGCTAAGATCAATTGCATCCAGTAACTGTGCTGTATCCTTAAGGAATTTTTGGGAACGGTGAACCCGCCTGCAATAAATGAGCACCGGTGCATAACAAGCACATGTGAACGCTACAGCAAGGTTCACAGAGGGCTAACCCTGGTCAGTACTGAAGCAGGGGTTTTCTTCTCAAACCCCTCTTAAAAAACAAAAAGGAAGGGAGGACAGAAAAAAAATAAAGAAAAGGAAAAAAAAAGGAAATCTAGAAAACACAGGTCCCCCATCTACCTGCACAAAGCCAGGCAGACAAGCTCAGTTGGAGGTGGTGAAGGGCGCAGATGCGTTATTGGTACTGGTAGCGGTGGCACCGGTCACTGCGAAGCCCGTGGGAGGAGCTATGGAGCTGTGGCTGGGCTGCAGGTCCTTGGGGATGCCACTGTGGGAGCTCAGCTGGTGCCCAAAGGCTGCGCTGAACTGAGGGAGCTGCTGTTTAGGGGAGGTGGAGGCCATGAGTTCAGCGGAGGCAGGACCCATGCCACTAAAACTGGTCTGCGGTAACCCCGGAAGCACACTGGAGCTGTTGGGGGTCACAGTGGCGAAGGCAGGCTGTGTGGTCTCTGAGTGCGAGGTGGTAGGTGGTGTGGACAGGGAGGTGGACAGGAGGTGTCCATCTGCACCAAGAAGGTTGCTAAACGGAGAGGGGTCCCCAAGATTGACAGGAAGATTTCCCCAGTGAGTTCTGGGGTTGACCACCCCACTAAGTGGCACATCCAGCTGAGTTGGGAGCAAGTGCTGTGCCATCATGGGCATCTCTGCTGAGAAGGTAGCTGCCAGGTTATCACCAGAAAAGGATGCAGTGTGAGGGGATGTGATATGGTCACTGTAGGGAGACGGCACATGCTCACTATCATAATGGCTTCCATGGGGTGAGGAGTGTGAATGGTCACTGCTGTATTGCTGTCGTGAGGTGATCAGGTCATCTGCCTTGCTCAGCAGCTGGGCAGGGTGGGGCCTCTGGGAGGCATGGCTGCCATCATGAAGTCCATGAAACTGTCCTGGGAAGGCTCTCTCCCCAAGGCCACTCTGGCTTATCAGAGTGGCAGAAGTAAGGCCAACGTTGGCTGGGGCTGAGAATTGCCCCTGGATCTGCCCTGCCAGGGGCGTAGGTGGGTTGGACAAGGTAGCAGAACGGAGCAAGTTCTCATCCAGCTCCAGACCGGAGAAATTATCATGTACTATACGCCCATTCAACAGCTCCCCCAGATCCGTGTTAACCTCTCGACTCAAGGACTGCATTCCTGGAGCTCCAGCACCTGTAGAGAACACCCCTATCCCTCTATCTGACAGCTCCTGAACTGGCACACCATCTGTCTGTGTAAGTACTCCAATGGTACTCAGGCACTCAAGAGAAGTTACAGCCTGTAGGGCCCGTTCCAGTTCTTCAGCCTCTTCTGTGGTTGGAAGGAGATCTCCGTTCTTACCTGCAGAAACAGGGACACCAGAAGTTAGCATGCTCCTCTGAGGTAAGCCCAGTGCTGGCACTCTGAGGCTGCAGATGTACAGACAGTTCAGTACAGAGCAGCAGAGTATGATAACCTTCCAGAGTGGCTTGTGGTACACAGGAAATTTCATTCACCAGTGTTAACCAGATAAGCAAAGTAAAAAATGAGAAATTACACCTTCCTCTTCAATGGAACTCCCTCTATTCACCTTCCTCTTCCACTACAATACAAGATGCCTCCCAAACTTACTAGACCTAATGTAAAAGCACTTGATTAAGATTTTCTTCAATGCTGCAATAACACAAATAGTGTACTTACCACATTACAGACTGGACCTGAAAGTCACAGAGTCAGTATGATTAAGGTTAATTTCAATTCAAACACAGTCTTATGTCACCTCATATCAGAAAATGACCAAAGAAATCACATACCCGAACACTGGGTTGTTCTAATTTCTTTGTTGCATGTGATAGATACTAAGCTTTAGAATACAAAAATTCAAGTACAGTTCTGATCAAAAGCTAGCTTCAAAAATGTATTTAAAGATTTTATTCTCACTCTCTTCTCCTTTTATCAAAGGCCAACATTGACTGTGATTCCAGCCCCACTCGATGGCAGAAAGATGCCATTACGGAGAATACTCTTGATTAAACTGCAACACTGACAGGCAGTAAAAATGTAAAATGAATTATTAAAATCCTAAACCAATTAGGATTTTCAGAGCAGCAGTTCTAAGAGCAAGCAAGAACTACACACACCAGCCTTTTTAATGTCGGCTTTACTTCAGAGCTCACAAACAAACAATAAAGCAAATGCACACTTCCTTGTCTAGAATTTATTACCTCTGTAGGAAAGCAAGCAGCCCCTCAAAATGCATTTTAGAAACACACCCTTCTTCTGTTCACTGTGTTCATGTTAGCATAAAACAAAATAAAACGGTACCTTCAAAGAAATCAAAATCTTGCAAGTCATCGGGCAGCCGTGGCAGGACATCAGAGAAGTCCTCCTGATTCAATTCCAAGTCATGTGGAATGTCTGTGATTTCATTGGCGATATCATCAGGCAGCTCATCGGCACTCAGCTCTGGTGTTGAGGGGCTCCTAGACAGAAAGTACCATTAGTCCTCAGTGTTCAATTCTGATTCCTCCAAACAACAACAACTACTACGAATGCATATCCAACTATAACGGGTGCTTCCTCAAACCTTTTTGTTTTGTTTTGTTTTCCCCTTTTTCTAGGAAAGAAATGCTTTTAGAAGGTTTCTTTAGGAAGCTTCTCAGCCTATTTATTAAATACATAAAAAGCAGCAACAGGAGCAAGACATTTTATCCAACAAACCAAGTAACTGCTCAAATCTGAAACATTGACTACATTGAAGCTAGCAGTGGGAAACCGGGGCAGGGCTACCACTGACCGTATGTGGGGCATCTCTACTGGCAGTGAGACACTGGCAGGCATGGTGAGGTTCCCTTGGGGCACCGCAGGAGGAATGGGTTTCTGGGGCCGGCGTGGGCCTCGCCTTCTCTTCTTCTTGTGTTTTTTGGTAAGTGCAGGTGGCTTCGTTTTTTTCCTGGGTTTCCTCTGCTGCTGGTGCTGAACTTTACGGGAGCTGTCCCCTCTCAAGAAATTGTCCTTTGGGAATAAAACAGTAACAGTGGGAGCATATCCAGAACACGTATTACTTTCCTTGCTTTTTCCCCCTTGTCATTCCACAGACCATTCATGTGTAATGCAAAAGAGACTGCTAGCTTACACCCAGGCAAGGTAACAAAAATTAAGCTGTTTCCTTTCTCATCAATCCCAATGGCAAAAATCATAGATCAAATTATGAGGTATGCTAAACAGGAGACCATGCAGTGTCACTTTAAAAATAATCATAGCAAACCCTAACTAAATCAGTGCAAAACTGTAACCTTTGGCAGCATTCCTGTAAGTACTGAAGACAGAACACTCTTGTGAGGTGGCAATAATGGGGAGGGTGTGCAGCAGCTAAAGCCAGCATCCTCAGTTGCCCACTGCCATAAAAGATGGACAGCACTGACGAAACAGAATTAATACTGAAGGACTAGGGTAAGCATGTGGGTAAACAACTAAGGCCATAATGGTTTTGAACAGCAATCATTAACCAATGAAAAAATAAATCAAACCATCTACAGTCTTCAGTTGCCATCATACTGGTAATGGCAGAGGACTGTATATGCTAGAGAAGTACACCTTGAGAGACACATTGACGACTGGCTCAGAGAGGGGTAAAATCCCATATAAATCTGTGAAGCACAGACTCTCACATTTTAATCCAGAAAACTCCATAATTCACAAGTATTGGAGAGGCTGGACAAAAACAGTAACAAAACACCACAACAAACCAACAACAGAACAAAAAAAAAAAAAAAAGAAGGACAGTTTTATGCCTAATGCCTTGAAGGAGGGGCTAGACAAAAGTGGGTTTGTGAGTTTTGTTCTGGAAGATGGGAGGCATAAAGTGAGTGCAGAGGAATCATCTTAATTTATTCATTCTCTCAACTTCTTGTAGGCCACTGCTTTTCCTCCAGGATCCACAGATCCCTGAAGGAGGTTGAAGATAAATTCTAATGTCACCAACAGGTAAATAAAGTAGCCAAACCATTATGTGTATGCCTGCAACTGCTATCTACACTTCCTCTAGAAAATTTTTTGAGCCCCATGTACTGAGACTGCTTGAGATGCAGTGTTCTTACCCATACCACACTCATACTATATTCAGATCCAATGGTCAGGAGTGAGACCAAATAAAATGACCACAGGATCTCTCTCAACGATTTTCTATTTCTTGATTCAAGAGAGGAATCAGATTTCTTCCAGTGAAGGATATTCTCATGCATGCTTTATTACATCCTCAGAAGTATGTAAAAGATTTTCGCAACGTACTTTATATGAAATAAGAATGTTTTACCCTCTTAGGAGAAATAAAAGGAAACAAGCTCTTAAGTTGATAAACTTGCTAGTTGTCAAGGAAGAGTTCACAGAAAGACTGGGATTAAAACTCCTGATCATCCCAATATACAAATATATAAATTACAGTTTTGGCTTTGTACTTACCATTTTTTTGGCATGTTCTTCGCACAGAGGTGTCTGATGTGTAATGTCAAAAACTGGCACAGAACACTGTTGACCATCTGCAAACTTGGCTGTGCAACTTGAGAAGAGCTGCTGAGAACGGTTCAATAAGATATCTGTACATTTCTGAATCAGGAATAACACAGAAGGCAATGATGGAGGAATGCCCTTTGATTTATCAATCTGATGAAGATCAGAGCCTTCAACTCTACCTGTCCATGCATGCTATTTTTAATGAGTACCTTAACTCTGTTATGCAAGTTCAAAGCTAGGTAAAGCTCAAACCCAACTTTTAAAGTGAAAAACTGCATAAATGAAGAATCTCTAATGATTTTATTATATATTGAGATAGTTTTACAGAAGCAGTCATTTCACTAATGAGTTCTTAGCAAAAAGAAGGCTTTTCCTGGAGTCTTAATCAATACATCAATAGAAGCAGTTGGAACAGTGTAGTCAACAGGACTATTTCCTTACGAACTAATGACAATCCATACTGAAACATTAAAGAAAGAGTATTTCTTAATTCAATCTTTTAAGGTACATTTTGGCATTTATCTTTAGAGCACAGACAAAGAAGTTTCAAGATCCTTCCTGCTTCTCCGAAAAAAAGATGTGCAATCAGACAGAAAGGTCAAGTAAATCCAAACGTAAGCTTGCTGAGATTTCCTCCAGAAAATCCCTTGCAGGAGTGAAAATGTTTCCAGACTTACCGTAATTCAAACAGGTATTTCACTGTGTTTTTTCAAACAACATTAGAAGCACTCCTTCCATCCTGAACATTTCTCACACCTCAACATCACTTTGTATGTTCATAAAATGTTAAAATGCAAAAGAAAGGACAAAGAAAACCCTGCAGAACAGCCCAGATGTCAGACTTGTACTGATGGGTCAGAAACAAGAGCCTGTTCCTTTTAGCAGAAAGAGTTTCCGTTGAGAAGAAAGTGCAGAGGGGAAAAATATGGGCACAAATGCAAAATCACTAGTCCTGACTTCTCTGCTTTATGCACACAAACAAGCAAGACCACTTAAACAAAACCAAAAAACCAAACCAAAACAAAAAAATCAGAATCAGGAGGCAAATCCCAAACACAGCTGCACACCATGGTGCTCTCTCATAGGGAGGTTTTGAGCTGCTCTGCAGACTACTTCTAAGGGGCCTGCAAAAATCAACCAAGAAAAACAAGGCATCTGCAAACCAGAAAGGTTGAAAAGGTGCTGCAGTCTGATAGCTACCAGAACAGACCAGCACTAGTCATTTAAAAGCTCCAACAAAAGAAGTCACTCCAACAAAAGCACCAGTGATTCTTCAGCTAAAACCAAAAAAGACAGTCTGCAGAATTCTCAAGTATTCCAGGTCAGAAGTCTGCCTGCTCATAGCCTTCAGAATCAAGCCTCACGCCTAATGTGCACCCACTAAAAACAGCTTACAAAGGCAAAATAATGTGACTATAACAGGTGCCATTGGCAAACTACTTATCTCCACTGTCTACAAACCCAAATCAGGAGACAAATTAAAAGTGAAGTAGCTGACGAGACACTAACAAACAGCTATTTCTCTGTGAAAACATGTTTGGCAATGCAAAAACCTAACAAACAAAAAACCCTAAAACAGAACAGCTCCCACGCCTGAATGCAACTCCCAGATTGAGTTAAAAGGATACGCTGAAAACAATGCCTGGTAAATGGAAGTGCCTTGTTAGTGCACTGTTCTCCCTTCGAAGTCCCACTGCAGGTTGTTGGTTCTGCATCTCTGTGCCTCACTTGGCTTGTGCTGGGAAGAAAAAAAATATAGAAGAGTTTAGAGACAAAACCCCAGCACTGGGTGGTTACTTAGCAAAACTATTGCACTGCATGTGGCACAGAAGGATGAAAAATTGTTACACACGTGTGTGTGTGATGATTCAGATGGGTGCACACCATTACCAGATTCTACACAGGGACAGATGTCAATGACAGGTGAAGGCGTGACTGCAGTAACAGGATTATTATTTATTTCACAGGGCCTTAATTGTAATGAGAGGTGCTGTGTGCTACTACCATGTAAACAGTACAACACCCTGCAACAGAGCCAAGGACAGCAAAAAGTGAGTGTCGACACAGGTGACCCTTAAAATGAGGTCAATCTCTAGAATATCATGTATTGGGTATGCCTGGACGGGCAGTCAAGTGTACTTCCAAGCCTGTTCATAAATCAAGACATGCCGAGCATCCCCAGAGCTTACATGCAAGCATGTGCTCAGACAAACTTAGACTGATCTCTGGAGCGGTAGAGCCTGAGCGTGCTCAACATGGGTAAAAGCTCTCCTTCAACAACGTGCTACAGCCCAGTCTACCAGCAGGTGCCCAGAGCTGAGCACTTCCTCAGCACAGCCTCAATGTTTTGAGCCTGAGCTGCAAGCAGTCGACCAGACAACAGTGTGGACGAGTACTGTAAGCGTTACACAGCTTGCTTGGTGTTGGCCTGCTCTTGAGGCATTTGTCACCTTCATGTAGACAAAGCTGGCGATTCCAGGGCTGACTTTCACCTCTGTACACGTTGTTTTCTAGGTTGACAAAAAGCTGTCTGTAGCTGACTGTTTTCCTTCAGCCATTTCTATCATCAACTGCACTTTGACTGAGCAATTTTAGTTTCAGTTAGCAATATTACTCCTGTGAAAAATTCCATAACTTAAGACGGTGGTTACTCAAAATAACCAGAGCAGTGATGACAGGCATACCTGGCTTTGTCAGTCTACCAAAACAACGTCATCTTTTTGCATAACAGAAGGCAAAAATAATGGGGGGAAAAAAACCCACACAAAAAAACCCCAAATCAAACAGCAAGAGCTTGCCAGTTCTGGCAAGGTTTTGCTGTAGTGTAAGTTCGAAGGCATTTACACAACTTTGTAAACTAGCAATATACCTCTATATTACACCTCTGAGCAGCTCTTCAACATCAGCCTGCCTCCCCGACAATAAACCCTCCAACTTTCATGAACCACAGCCCGCTGTCCAGGAACAAAAGCATCCCATAACCAGAATACACTCTCAGTACCCTATTCCAGCCTGCCTCTCATGCTAGGCTCTTCTACCTGCCCAGTCACACATCCTGTAAAGCAAAACCAGAACAGCAAAAGTATGCTGCTGATACCCCAGACATAACACCAGGGTTCAGACTTACTCTGTTCCTGCACAAATATGAATCAACCAACTCTCAGTATGCTGAGAGCTGGAGGGATGTTGACATTATCTAGAAAGAATTCCCACAGAAGGTAACCTTCAGAGTTGTTAGAAGATATTTATTCTGTTGCCAGGTTTCATTTAATGTTAGATTGAGTTAAATCTAACAAAAAGCATGAACCTAAGTTTGATTTGCTGGGAAGATAATTAAGAGGAGGTACAGACTTTTCAGAAAAAGCTGTCTGAAAATCAAAATCTGAATTGAAGCAGTGAACTGCAAACCAGACTGCACACCTTCTAAAGAACTGGGCTTATTAGTGAAGTACCACGTATTTGAAGGCAGCCAAAATACATAGATTAATTCATAAGAATAAATTTTAGCACGTCATTAACTTCTTTTGTGACATTTAAGGACTCGGACTCTGATACTGCTAAACAAACAATCCCCATATGAAAACACAAAGCTAGAGAATGGCCCTCTTCATGGAAAACACTGTATGCCATGTTTATTTTACTCCACTGACAGGTATTTACGTGGTTTTTCTGCCTTGTGCATGCCTACCGGTTTCAGAGTTCAGCATTTCAGCTGCTAGATATTCTGCCCATCTCCACCCTGTCCAGACCCTGGGTTACTGCAGTCACAGGGGAAGGTCTAACCTGGTACGAGCACACGTAGCTCTTCGGAGTTCTTGTATCAGTTGCCCAGTGCGCTCCGGCTCTCTGCTGGCCGCCTGCAGCAAGGCTTTCCGGAGTGTGTGCCGGCATTTCTTCTGACGGGATTCTGCCCGCTCCAGGCGGCAGAGGTGCTTGTATTTCTGCTGAAAGTAAGTGCAAAGTCTGGTCACCCTGGAACTCCTGTCATCTGCATTGTCATCACTGCACCTAAAGAAGGGAAAATAAAAACAAACAGGCTTTAAGTACTCTTTATTTTTTTTCCAAGGAAACTAATTTGTCATTTTAATAGAACTGTTAAATTGGCATCCATCTTCTAGCCCCATAAACACCCAAAGGCTGCAACGAGGCAGGGATGCTTGAGAAATGGTAACAGCAGGATTCCTTCTGAATTCTAAAGGTACTTGCCTTTCTTAGTATGTCATTATTAGAGATTACATCAATTCATCATGAAGTCTGACACATTTAAATGTCTGGAGCCTGCTGTTCAAAAAAATCTATACTGTTAACCTTTATTTACTGTAAATGTCTCAGCAAATGAGACAAACTCTTAAATCAAAGTGCAATTAATGGAGAGGACAAGGGTGGGGAACTGTGTAGTGGAAATTTATTGAAGAAAGGTCATGCTGCAAAAGATGGTCAAATATTAACAAGTACCAAACCTTTTACTCCTCTGGGTAGTGTATTCCTTTCTAAACCAACATACACACTTAACACACCTAGCAGTTGATACTGCTTTCCCCTTGCTGCAGAGTTACAGTTGAGTTACAATACAGTCATGGGGAAGAAATTCACATTTACCTTCAAAGGTACTGAGGGATAAAATTAGAACAGGGCTAAGCAATGACCAGATGGACTAATCCAATTCTTTGCTTGCTTAAGAAAGCCTTTTCCCATTTATTTTGGCTTTCTGAATGTCCAGGTACATATCAACAAGACCATCAAACCATATCAACACATTCAGTTAGATGAAGTAAAAATCATGAAACAATAAAATCACCACTGGGACTTGTTAAAACAAGGCCCATGAAGCTACCCAGAAGTCCTCCACAACAAGCACTAGTTTGTAGAATGATTTATCTTGCTCATAGAGCAACGAAGACCATGTAGTGAATCGAAGCAAAGCGACTTTGTTCAGTTTTTCCTTAAGTTTTTCCTTACAGATCAGAGAAACTTTCTGCTAACTTCCCTATCTGTGAGACAAAAGAATGGCAGGGAGAAAAAAAAAAACAAGTCCAAACAAATTAAAAGCTCCCAGGGTTCAAGACTGCAGAGCCTGGCCAGCGAGACTGCATGAGCTGACATCCAAACCTGTGCACAGCAAAGTGGACCCCAACTAGCTGATGATAGAAGAGATGCAAAATACCAGACATGATATTTACTAAATAAAGCAAGATCCAGAAATGGAGGCAGCATAGCTGTCTTTGAAAAGCAGTATGATTAAGACCTACTTTCCATTCTGGAAACTCTTATTCTATTTACAGGCAGGCCAAATATAAGAGACTGCATCCATCTCCACTAAGGCTGCCCACAAAGACTGCACAGGAGCAAACACTGCCTTGACACAAATACATTTTTATAAAATGTTATCTAAAGTCAACCATACTACATATTTTGTTTGTTAAAACAGAATGCAGATTATTTTCTAGAAGCATAAATTACAAGTAATTAACCTCTGCAGTTACACGCCTAGCAACAAATACAAGTTGTTCAAAATGTTTAACATATGTAATGTTTAAAATAATTTCACATTGTCAAGATCTGGGATAGCAAGAATGCCCACTGGGAAAAACAACCTGTTTAGAGAAAAATCTAATGGTGTGCTATTGAAAATACTATTCCAATGTATTAATAGAAAACAGGAACACGTGGATGGGATCAATTAGATACAGGTGCGTTTAATGTCTCAGATTCTGGGCCAAGATTTTTAAACAAAGTTGCAGACATACTGATTTAATTTTAAATGTGGTTTCCAATTAGCTTTTTTAAAAGACAGGAATATTCCTTAGTGTTTCTTTTGGGTGAAAAGATGGTGTTCTAATGCAAGTGCCCATATATTTGAGGCTTTTTACTTCCCTCGTGCTGAAACAGACAGAAAAAAGTCATTGTATGCTAAAATATTTTGAACTGCAGTTTACCAGATCATTTTTAAGCAAGTAGATGAAGACATATATACAAGACATATATACAGACAGAAATCATGCCTGCAATGGGCAAACGCTTATTTTGAGGCAGTTTCTAAAAGCCTATTCCAAATTCTGTTCCCAGGCCAGCAAGATTAACTGAAACATATTTATATGTTCAAAGAAATCTAAAAATATCATAATAATACTGCCTTTTTCTTCTTCATTAGGCAAGTACTGAAACCGAAAGCTACTTCTATTGTTGTCTTCTCATAAACAAGTTTACCAACTTCTATTCAGTTTATTCTCTTAAGCTGCACACAGAACTTCAGAAGTTCAACTTAATGTGTGGCATTTCATTTTTAAAAGATTTCTGAAAGTGCACGCAAATCATTTGATAATCCAAAATGCTCCTTCCCAACCCTTCCCTTTAAGATTGTCATATGTAAACATCAGGGGAATTATCGCTGCGTGTTCATGAAGAAAATTAAGGCAGCGTGAAGCAGCAGAAAGGAAGAGCAAAAGGGTATCAGGGAGCAGCCAGGCACCACCAGGGAAGCAGGAGAACACACGCTCTACTCTGAGACACCTCAACAACTGTACTTCAAAACCCTCTGTAAGGAGGGATTTGAAGAACCTTCCCTTCCTCCTTGTAGTTCTCCTAGTTACAGGGAGCTACTAAACCCAACTTTGACAATACGGTGGTAGTATTTGCTCCTTTGAGTGAGCTGGTATGAGGCACGACTCCAGCCCTCACACTCCCTCTTCAAACTTGCTACTTGAAATGCTCACTTTATCTGTATTTCAGCATAACAAGTGAAAAACTACTTTGTTTTAAAGTTATCTGTTTCCCAGCACTTTCTAAGCTACAAGACCCAGTAAGTGTATCACCTGGGGGGAAGCTTCACTAATCTGTGGCTGGGAACAGCCCCTGCTTTCCCTCCATATCACTGCTCCTCTGAGGAATTCCTGGCTGCACTGTGTTCAATGCCAATTCCTGCGCTATTATTTGAACTCAAACGCTTGTGTCTGCCTTGAAGCACTGCATCCTGGAATCCTGTGACACAGCAACCCCAATTTTTCAAAATTAAAGGACAGAATAATAAAAGCAAACATTTATTTATTCTGTGTTTACACAGATGATTGCAACAACACGAATTTTACACATTAAAAAGCCAGAACGCAGGTGAACTCAAAAATGTATTACTGTTAAAACAATAATTTTAAACCAATCTGGTGAATTTTTGAGAGCTTAAGAGCAGCTAGAGTATCACACAAGAAGTTCAAGAGAAAGTTGGAAGATTCCCCCCACAATTACGCAACCAGAAATGCTGAGAACAAGCTGTCCAGTAACAAAGAAATTCATTCTTGGCTTTCTTTTACTAATCTGTTCTGAGAAGCATCACTCCTACTGTGTTCCACAAAGTCAAATGGAAAAGGACAGAATGGAGTTAGCTGCAGGAGAATTCTCTCTCTCTCGCACAGGGACCATGAGCTCAAACACAAATGAACAGAGATAAAAACAGCTTTCATTTTACTATGAAAAACAGAAAGCAAACTCCCTTAAGTTAAACGTGTGATTTCAGAGTCTAAAGGTTTGGCGAAACGATCTCCATTGGTTTTATGGTAAAATTAGCCTCCAAATTCTGAGTCATAACAAGTCATTGGCTTACAAAGTTAGGAGCCACCACTCCAGATTAGCAAGACAGAGTCATTTTGACAAATCAATTCACCCAAGAAATAGCCTGAACTAATCCATTTTTGGCAGCAGCCAGACCATATTGCAAAAATGTTAAAGTGAAACACTACAGGTAATAGATGCTGCTACAGAAGCTTGCAGAATAGGAATTAAAGTTTAAGAAGGCTGACATCAAGTGAATGCATCAATGTTTATCTACAAACAAAATTAAGAAAGTAGTTAAAGAGCTAACACTGGCAGGCTAATGGGAAGTACAAAACCAGCTAGTACCAAACAAAAAATTATCCATCATGATCAGTTAAGATAGCGTTACACTTTAATTGAGGTGCATAAAATGCTAGAATGGAACAGAAAACGTCAAGGCAAGCTATTATTTTCTCTCAGTATGTGAAAAGAGTAGGAAGAATCTGAAGGAAGTTAAGACAAATAGAAGACAGAACACACAGAGATGACCTTTAAAAATTTACAAAAAAAAGAAGAAAAGGGATCTATGGGAAAACCAGATCAAATGTCAAAGAGAGACGAGTGCAAGTGAAGTTATTTAACAGATATATCTGCTTTGAAAATTATGTATGATTTAAAAGTCTGAAAGTCTGTTCATGTTTTCCCAAAACAGTTAATTTAGAAGTTGCCTTTTAAGTTAAAATTAATGTTTGTGAAAGCTCACTCTCTCTCTGACTGCTAATGCCCTAAAAAACAATGGCCATTCGTAACTGGAAAAAACCTTTTTTTAAAAAAGGGAAATCTACACAGCTTTGATTCACTGAAGGCTCTCTGTATTTAGCATCCTGGTGTCTGTCCTCATGACAGAGATAGATAGAGCTAAGTTGTTCACCTCGTGGACAGTCTTTAGATACGGTAAGAAGTGCTGGTAAGTTTCAGTATTTCCATGTAACAACAAAATAACATTTCATTAACATCATTACTCTAACTGTGGTATTTAAAAATTGAATAAAGGGGAGAGAGTTGTAGTCTTAAAAAGTCCAGTTTCATAGTGAAAGAGAATCATGTCACAAAAAGCACAATCAAATTTTTTTGAGACCTCAATTTCCTTTTTTATCAACGTGCTTCAGTTCTGTTAAAATACTATGCTTGGGATGCTTTGCTTTAACTTTGTACCTTAAAATGTTTACATTAACAGACACATATTATCATATTCTGCTATAAGTTCAGATTTGTGATGTAGCAGCATACGAAGAACACTGTAAGTCCTTCTGCACCAGCTCTGCTTATTCCTTCAATCACATCACTTCCTCTCAATGCTCCCAACTATTTGACAGAGGTTTATTCAACACTTTAATTATGAAGTGACTTGCCCTTTAAAAAACCACATTAAAACATCATCCTGCACAATTACTGTACAGATTAATGAGTAAAATGTAGCAAGTTTACTAACAAAGTTATTCACAGAGAGTAGGAAAGACAAGAAACCAACAGCAACTACTTTCATTTGGTTCCAATTCAGGAATTACCTCTACCCAGCAAGGCACACAAGTTAATGAATAAATCCAACCAAACTGAATTAAATTTAGGCAAATAAGCTTGAATTATTTCCTGATGCATCCTTCTGATAGCAGACTGCACAAAGCTCTCTAAGTTATGTGGAAACTGGGACAGAAGGTGACAAGCTGTTTCATAGCTCTTACAAACAAACGAGTTCAAACAATCCTTTGTTTCAGCAAAGCACTTGAACAAGTGCTTAAGTTCCACTAACTCCACTTGAAGTGAAGCTCACATTTACATGATTTATTCCACCAGTACCAACATGAATACTAAAGAATTCTACTCACCCATGTCTATCATAGCCGAGCGTTTCTCGGATAGACCATGCAACCTGGTAAGGGGAGGTTTGCTCTGAATCCTCAAACTCTTCTCCACTGTCTTCAGACCAATCCAGCCCTAAGGGAATTGAGAATATGAAAGCTGAATGAAAAGCATATCCACCTCATACAAGTCTCTGAGCAAACTATGGTACAAAAGATGAATGTGTAGTATAGTCACAAGCACAATTATGTTTGATTAAGTCATATAATATTCTCAATTACACAGGAAAAGTTACAGTAACAGCTCCATTACAGTGTGCAAATAGCATGCACTGATTTTTGTCAAATTTGATTTTTCCTTTTAAAATCCTTATTGGCTTCTTTATCCATAAGCAGTGGAAGCAAAATCACCAGCTCATTTAACTACAGAAAAATATTCCAGCTTTCATACCAAGCACATGCGATCTTTAGAGACAAGGTAACAGAGAAGTTCCTGTCATGAAGAACTGACTGCCTGGTAATTTTTAATACTATATGATCTAAATAGGCCATTTTCACTTCTGCTCATATTCTGACCCTTGCTCTGTGCCAGAATAGAGGGAGAATAGGAAAACTGCAAAACAGAACAGCATGGACAGAGATACGCACGCAGCTACACAGAATGTTCCTCTGCTCAGCCTCTGTAATTGTCTGCCAAATGCATACATTAGCATGAAAAGAGAGCTAAAGGGAGAGATGCAAATGTTCTTGTACTTTTGCTAAGCAGCATGCTTTTGCTTAATGATGGTGCAGTAGGATCAACTTCTTGTATGCACCAGCAGCCTCAGATAGTCAAGCTAAACACAACTGAACAGGACAGCCAGAAACAGAGTCCAGCAAGTTCTCAGGTGGAACAGTTTATCTGGAGCTTCATCTTTTGCAGTTTTTCCTACTCTCTCCCCCACATCCAGTGGAATTCTTGTCAATTCCTTGCAGCAAGTGGGATGAAATCCCATAACCACGTTTACAAGTCAGCATTATTACGTTTTCACTTTTTTGGGTGCTCCTTGAAAATGGAGCAGCAGTTAGGGTTGAGTTAAGGAGCACTTTATTTTTGCTAAAAATAAACTAAACAACTCTGAGATGATTCTGAAGCCAGATGCTTTGAATTTGGGAAATGCATCAGTACTTGGTCACCTATTTTCAGAGTTAGACCTACTTTCAGAGTTAGACGACTCATCATCAGGAGAACCTTCATCATTTAGAAACAACGCTTTAACATAAACCAGCAATACCACAAACTGTATTTTTCAGGAACTTCAGCATCCTGAAAATTCTATTCTTCATTCCTCTTTTCAAGATATTAATTTGAACTACATTAAGATATATTAAGGCATTTAACAAAATGCCAGAATTACACCTTCAACTTAACTGTTTAATTCCCACCCTTTCCATAAAGGACTGAATAAAACAACTTAATAACTGGATAAAGATGTCCACAAGTATTTACCCAAAGTTTAAAAATCAAATCAGAGGTTTCACTGTTCTGCTTCTAATGGGCACTGCAGAAATGAAGGAATAAAATCTAATGCAGATTCAGCTATACTCACACTGAAGACTGCAGTTACATTAATATCCAATTACTTGCCTCTGATGTAGGTACACAGAAAACTGGCTGCATCTTTTTAAAGATTCTGTGCAGTCATCTCTAGTGCTACTCTGTCATAAAAAAGAAATCCTGAAATTCTCTGAACCAGCACAACTAGTCTTTAATATTAAGGCATATTATGAATAAATAACAAACTTATTTCCACTCTCACATGATTACTATGTGAATTCTGTTACTTTGCCAAACATAAAATGTTCTAATTGTGCACACATACAGTTATGCAGATGCATACGTTTATAGGTCTAACCAGTTTTTGTACCATGCCTCTTCTTCGGGAAAATATATTCTCTTCACCACTTGAGAATGTAGAACTTTAAACACAGAAAGTGATGTTTCTACAGTCTCCCAAAACATGGGTCACTTTCTAAGCTATTGGGGTCTGTGACACTCAAAAGTGCCTCCGGAGTTGCCATTCCTCAAAAGACTGCATTATAGATAGGACCATCAAAGTTGTTTTCTGAAGAACAACCTCTGTTGGAAACATGCTATGGGACGCTAATTATCTTCTGAACAAATAGCCAAGCTATTCCATGAGTGCCAAAGGACAGACCTTAACAGCAAACTAAAAAAAGGTTAATTGAAATAGCAAAAATTACAGATGTTTGCAACTAAGTAAGATGTTGTATGAAGAATGTCCAGATTTATCTGAAGTCTTTTTTTTTTG